CGTGCCGTTGCGAGGTATTCGCACGCGCCGAAGCGACTGCACTGGGAGGCGGCTTTGCATGTTTTGATGTATGTCAGATTCACGAGCGGATACGGGATTACTTTCCAGAGGGGCACGGTGGGAGGAGACCACATGGAACTTTTTGTCGATTCGGACTTCGCCAACAAGGCAACCGACCGGCGGTCTGTTTCTGGGGCACTAGTGATGTTCGCTGGTGCGTGTGTGATGTATCTGTGTAGGACGCAGAAGAGCGTCACCCTGTCTTCGACGGAAGCGGAGTACGTGGCGATGTCTGATGGCATGAAGGAGGCTATTTTTCTGCGGTATCTGTGGAAGTTTATCTTTCCGGGCCGTGATGTGGGGTGCACGCCGGTGTGGGAGGACAACGTAGGCGCTATTCACTTGGCAAGTAACCCGGCTACTACTCCCAACTCGAAGCACATCGACATCCGCCACCATTTCATCCGTGAGCGTGTAGCACGGGGGGAGTTCAAGGTAGTCCACGTACGGTCGGACCTGCAACGCGCGGATTTCTTGACCAAACCGCTCCCCAAGGAGACTTTTTGCGCGCATCGTGACTTCGTGATGAATATTCGTTGATTTTGTTCTTTGTGTTGCACTATTTCAGTGATGGGGCCTTTCTTGCATCATGTGTTTTATTTGTGACCTGGTACTGGCCTTTGATCTGCTGCTCGATGTTGATTTTGCTTTCGCGATGGATGGGATAGTTCTGCGTGAGAATCATAGGGGAGGAAGTATTGTTCCATGATCCTAGTCGCAGGTGGTTTGTCTTGGTTTTGATTTTGTCGGGATGAATGATGCAGCAGGGGGGCTGTTGGATTGATTGATTGATTTGATTTTGACTTCATGTTCAGGATGGAATGGATGATACAGCAGGGGGGCTCGTGGAGTGGTTTCTTTGTCAAGGTATTGGATGTCGGAGAGAGGGTTTGGCATGTTCTTGTAATTTGAACTGGCCATTGAGTTGAAACATGAATATTCATCTGAGAAATGAATTTGTTCGGAGTAGTCAGGACGTAAGACACGTTTTCCCGGAGTTACCCGTCCTCCCCGTTCTGACGTGATTCTGATGCAATGTTGATCTTTTTGCTGGGTATTTTTCCAAGGGTGATTGTTCGTGTTTTGACTGCTTGAGAATTGGGTAGAGCACTTTTCTCGAGAGGGTGATTTATTTTTCTTGACAGACCTTTTAGGGGTAGATATTTGACATCGAAAGGTTTGAAAGCTTTGCAGGACGTGTTCTGTTGGAAGATCCGGCGATTTCGTGGGACATGTTCTATTGGCAGAGTCGTTTGGATTGGAATGGTGGGTGATTTATTGTTAGCATAGGGGTTTTGGTTTTTCTGTCTGCCGTTTTGTCTGGCAATGATAGTCGTGTCGGGGATTTCGTAGATAGTATCTCGTACCGAGCAGGGGGGCTGTTTGGGGTGCTCGGCAGAGTATACTGTCTACGGGGCCTCCAGGGGGTACGCGGATGGAATGTATTGACAGACATGCTGCATGGCGATGGTGTAGCCTACCGCATGTCTCTTACTCTCTAAGCAACAAGGTCTTGAGTCAACCTTCTTTCTCTTTCGGCCTCAGACGAGCTACCGCACCCAAACATGGGTGATCCCGGCTGATACGTCAAACATATGCACCGAGAAGTGTGTAGACTGGTGCCAGAAAATATGGGACGAAAACGCACATGGTTTGTTGAGGTTCGTATTTTGTTCTGTACAACACGTGTATACAGACACAACGATCAACATTCACACTCGTGCTTCAACAAGACCGTCGCTCTCCTTCTCTGGTATAAGGTATAAGCACGCTCAGCAGCAACCGAGTTAGAGGTAGGGCTCCACTTCGACATTGTTGGCTGTACACAATAAAGCCGAGATGCTGTGATACGGAACATGGAGACACTGGCGGAAAAGCGGTTGTTGCACGCAAACTTGCCAACAACGGCATCAACCGACAGCAACAACAACAAATTTTTTCGTGTATCATCAACATCAACACCAACGCCTTCGTTATGCGACGACTATTAAGGATGATGTAACATTTATGACCGTACCTGTTGTTCGTGCTGCCGCTTCGATAGGGCAAGACGGTACTTCTCCTCCTCTGTTTCCTCGTTCAGTTTAGCGCGTAGGATGTGGGTCCTTCACAAAACATGCAGCAGCGAATCAGATGCGACGGGGTTAGTGAGTGATCTACGCTACTCACGTCTATCACATGTGTCCTCATTGGGAGTGTGTGGCACGTACCCTGTGCTACATTGGCTCAAGAGGGTCACACAAGCAACCAAACGCTAGAGAGGGGATCCCGCAACACTGACTGAGTATGTTATGAGCACCTACCAGCCTTTCGATTGTGCTATGCCCAAGACAAGCAGCAGACACGGCCTTCTCTTGCCTAATAGCACCTGGCGGAAACACCTAAAATCTCCAAGCTTTTAGTCAGCACCGGGTCAACGTCGGAGTTTGTTTCTTTTAGCGCATAGATATTGAAGGCGAATGAAATCACGTTATTGTGTGAGCTTGGTCCCATGACACCCCGCCTCACCAGAAAAAGTAAGTAAGTTCAAGGGCGCGACATCTGGGGGGCAATCTGCACATTGTCGCAAAAGGGTTGCCTGTTGATGAAACAGATACTACCCCTTCGGCAAGCTAGAACTTGAAGAGCAAAGTGTTCATGCGATTTGCTTCTTCTCTCGAATGGTGATCTCGCGTTCTTCCGTCTGTCGTCTATTGTGTTGGCTCGCGTGCCGAGTGGGAGCAGTGAGCTCTATTCGCGTAGTTGTGCACATGCATTCAGACTCTATGCATACATCTCCTTTTTTTGGCCGATGTGTCACTAGCGACGGCTGACTGTTGTCTGGCCTATCTCCGACCGTGTTTGGTTATATGCATATACATCCAGGTTGCAACCGGGCTCCGACCACGTAAGTCGTCCGTGTCACGGATTGTTGGAGGAAAATAGTGAGCAGCGACACAACTGCGGTCTCATCAGCGCAAGTTATTGGTCGACGTCTCGGTTTCGAATTTGATTTCGGCGGACGATTTCCGTACGTGAGAGCACCGCCGGTACTGCGGCATCTATACGTCCTGCTGTACATACAATGACGGCTGGCAAGGACACCGCCGTCTACCATCATTAGGATCGATCAAGCAGGAATCATATCTCGAAGGTTTATATAATTTTCCATCGTCGTGCATGTCTGTTTCCCATCTTTCCGCGACCGCCGTTGCCATTTCAATGCAACATAGTCTACAGTCGTGGGCGCGGTTTAGCGGTTTCCTGTTTAGCGGGATGCCCTGAATAACGGTTATAAAATCTTGTGACACGGCTGCACCCCGGTTTAGCGGTTGTCCAACCGCTAAACCGGTCGTGCCCTTAATAGCGGTTATTGGACATGTTTTCAGCCACCAATAGCGGTTATCGGTTCAATTTGTGCATAGACCTGCTGTAGTGCGCGCTTCGCTTGCACACACACCCAGCACAGTGACATTGGTCAGCCTGTTCGCTGGTCGATGCTCACAATAAAGAAGACACAGCGAGAGACACACACACACCGAACGACGCAGGGCTGCAGAAGAATCGCCGAAAATAGCTGAAAAAACGACGATGAGAGTGATGGTGGTGAAAGCAAGGAAGATGATGGTGAAAGCACTCCAAAACGAACTCGAGTGCAAGGTAGCAGTTTTCTTCTGTTGCTACCGTTTCTGTCCTTAATCCGGAGAATAATTTTTGCCTGCCCCGTGCCGCCCCCTCACGGGGTCCCAGTTAATGACATAAAGAAGTGTTTTGTGTTTTCAACCGCACTGAGACTGACAACGATGTCTTTTCATTGGTCAGCCGGTTAGCGCGGTCGATGCTAATAACAACGACACACCATGCGGCGCGTGGATGGAGAACTGTGCAAGCTTCTAGATGCGGCACTGAGACCAAGCGGCGCGCACGATTGTAAAGGTTGCTGTGGCGGCCGCATACACGGCATGTGTGGGGAGGTGGATCCGGATGACAACGAGATGCAACCGGCGTGCAACCAGAAGGCGTAGAATTCCTCTCGCGTCTCAAATCCTCCCAAGCGCCAAGAGGTGGAAGGTGGCTTGCTAGCACCGGTCGCGCGGAAAGAAGCAACTCGCGCTGCAGCTACACAACAGCCCCACACGCGGCCCTACTTTGGCTAGAAGCTCGAGGTTTTGAAGCTTCTTGACCAGGAGGTAGCGCACTCAGAAATAGTGCGCACAGGAAGGGATCGCCGAAGCTTTGCATAAAGGACGCGAATAACGAGGTTATTGAAAATTGTCCAGTATGTACATGGACGGGGGCCTTTTAGGGGCGATACCCTGAATGGCGGTTATGAAATTTCGTGACACTATGGACGGCTAAACCGGGCCCACGACTGTATCCCTCTCTGCCTCAGAGTAGTGTCGTCATGGGACTCTGTTCGACTATGCCGCATCCGTATAGACTACGGAATGCGCGAGCGCTCATTGGACTATAGATCATTGCCCGCTACGTTTACGGGCAGATATGTAGATGGATGTGGGTGCGCTCGTCTTGCCTGACAATCTTATTATCGTTTACGATTGCTTTCTGCGTGCCCTGTGAGAACGCCATCTTCGATCAGATTGTCCCCTGTTCTACACATATGCTGCTGCTGTAGTGCTACAGCAGGAGGGAAGATGCGGCCAGCTTCGTCTATGACCTATGGGTGGTAAGACACTGAGTTCTTTTTTACTGAGACTACGCCTCTTGGCAATTTCCACGGATACAAGTGTCTACAGGATTGGTTGTGCCTGATAGCCCCCCGGGGTTGCACTTCCGAGAGCTCGTTCAACATTTACTCGTCGTGTAGTAGAGCGGAGACTGCTACGGCCGGTGTCCTTGAGGGTTGCGCAAACCAGACATCACCACCATCCCTCACCTTCTTTTGCTGGCCTCCAGCCGGATACGCTTCTCCTTTTCGACGACTACTGCTGTTCCAGCCAGAGCGCCAGCAGAAGCATGCTCCCGCGTGCTTGGCTCCTTGTCACGATACCCGGATGCCATGCTACCAACGGAGTTATCCTAGGAATACCCATAACATCGCGTCGTTTGTCGTGTGCACATGCCCGTTAATGCCAAGGTGCGAGGAGGGCGGCTGGTCAGGATTCGGTCGAAAACCCCGACAAATCCTTACATCAGACAGGATAGGGCAGCACCGTACGGCAACAAGACACCAACAACTGCGGCAGGGTCTTGGCCAGGTAGACAAGAGAGACGCGAGCAGGCACAGCAACCTACACCATCTCTGCTTGCTCATCAAACGCTATCAACAGCCAGCCTCAACTCCGTGGTGGAGTGTGCGCGCGCTCGGATCTTCAAGCTTTTTTTTTTAGCTTTTAGCCCGTTATTCATGATCGATCATCATGATGGTGGACCTGGCAGTAATAAATGTAAAAAAAATCCCGGGCTGGGGCGCAAAAATATACTTTCTCGTCAACTTTTTTGAAGGAGGAAAAATCGGTTACCATACAGCTGAGCATCGCCATGCCGTGTCGCTGCCGTCGCACACTCAGTCATCAGTTGATCTCTCCCATTTTCCTCTACGACTCTACGAGGTTGGCTCCCCCATAGCTGCATCAGTGACTGGTTGTTGACGGTTGTCGAAGTGTCCACATAGAATTCCAACCAACAAGAAGGAAACGCATGTACGTAAGGAAGGCGGACATATATATCGGCGGAAAAGGGGAGAGAGCGACTTTTCCGACAAGCGAAGTTACCAAGGTGCCACGAGTATTTTTCTGGAATTTTCATCTATCGATCAGATTCATCTGAGAATAGAAGGTTGTACCCTCTTCGGCGTATCAGAATTGGCATCGATGTGCGCGGGGTGTACCTTTTTTTGGCTTCTGACAGATTTTTCCAGTCAACAGCCAACGCGTTCGTCGGATGATCCGCATTTCCTCTTTTCTAGTTCTCTGGTTGCCTCACCCGGAAGGACTTTGAACCGTTGTTCCGACCAAATGTAGAACTTGGTGACATTTGGTGACAGAAAAACGGCTTTGAAAATAATTTCGGCTGGGAAACGCTGGATTCCAACGAAGCAGGCGTCTCCGCCGACAGCCCAAGCCGCTCACCATTTTTGGCTTTGGAACGGCGCTGACTCCAAACCCTCCTTCTCCAACACACTATCACTTTCGTCTCTACCCAACGACCGAACCGCGCACGGATTGGCAACAGCTGTCGCAGCCCCTACTGCCTTTGCACACTTACTCTTCGTTAGGTGATCTCTCCCATACGGGTCTGCTCGGTACTCTCGTGTCACACCGGAGCCAACAGAGAACGCAAGCAGCAGCGGTGTTTTGAGGGAGACGCTGAACCGCAGTTCAAGGTGAGCAAGGGGATCGTGCTCCCTGCTCAGATAAGAGGAATTTCTATACCACAGCAGTACGCTCTGCTTCTATTGAGGCTCTCTCTCTCTCACACTCTCTCGCTGCTGCAGCAGACATCGATCGGTCGCCCCGCTGACCGTCGACACTTTTCTTCCGCATTCGAGAGGTTCGGTCGGCCTTTCGTTCTTCGATGAGGTAGCGCCGTACTTTCGTACTCTCTACTGCGGACAAGCTGTGCCTCGTGCGGTTCCTTCATCTCCCTTTGTCGTCCGTTCTCTCTGCAAGGAACCGCTTTTGCTGGATGACTTCCAACTATTGCTTCTGCTGAGTCCGCAAAAGGAGGTCAATCAAACCTTGGATGAGAGAATCCGGGCTCGTCTGTCTGTTACATCTCAGCCGTGCTCAGCTGTCAAAACCAGCTGGTCAAAAATTCCTCGTGAATTGACCACGTCGTACATGCAAACACCCACCTTCATCCAACTTACATAATAGTTGAGAGCGGAGGTCGCTCAGTGCAATGGTTCCAGTATCTATACAAACATAGCTGTTTTGGCGCATGGGCCGCCGCCACTTACACTATGTATTTACTGCACGTACATGTTGACACAGACGACGACTTGATTTGATGTCACGTATGTACGTGTACATAAACCGCATTTTATTCGAACCTGTCCGTACTGCTGTGGATTTTGTGGCATGAAAAATAGGTGAGAGACAGCACAGCAAGTCGTGGCCCTTTACCGTCCGCAGCAGCTTCGAATCTTGTAGGCACACGTACAAGTAGCTGCCACAGATTACTGCTGTAAATGTAGACTAGTCGGGAAAGAAGGCAAGTGTACATTAGTCTTCGCTGTACATGGATTCCACGTTTAAAACGTGTTCGTCGCGTGAGGACGCACGTCCTGTCTGTCTTATGTTGGTGAGGATGGTTCACCAAGGGTGGCCACTTTTCTCTCTCCTAAATTTATCTCTCTACTTCGCTTCCCATGAACTCCCAAGCCAAACCACGGCGGTTGATGCGCAGGGCCGATAAGATTCATCGACACCCACGCAGCAATTTCTCATGCCAATCCCGCGCGGGTCTGGACTGAGTCGGTGCTCTCTTCCTGCCTTGTCCGCGTTCCGTTTTCACCGCATTCGACAGCCTCTTGAATACGCAGCACACAAGCATGGTGCCATCCAGGAACAAGCAGCAGAGCACTACCACCGGCTTCGACGGGTTCTCCCAGCGGTCCTCTTGCGAGCGGTCGTCGACGTCAACATGCGGAGTTGGCGACGTGATTCTAGAGTTTTGCACTCCCGGTGCTCGATCCCCGATACACTTCGTCGACGCAACAACGGCGGCGGCGGCGGCGGCGGCATCCTGCCGCGGGAGGCCTTGCGGGGGAAACACTACCTACAATGCATGCGGCAGCAGCAGAGGTGTGCGGCCACCGACCTTGTTGCGACAGCAGTCGGCGCCGGCATCGTCGACGGCACGACCATCGGCCAACGCCAGCGTCTACACGGGCAAGCACCACCGCAGAACGTCGACGCCGCCGCTGGACGGCGCGCGTCTGACGCTTCTGGGGGTGTCCAACGCGCTCAACACTCCCGTCCTGGACAACTGGGAGGTGGCCCGGGCGTTGCTGGAGTCCAACACCGACCTCCGGACAAGAAACGACCGCGGGATGACCCCTCTGCACTTAGCATGTTCAACTGGAGAGGTGCGTATATTCTTGTTGTACCTATGTGAGTAAATTCTTGACACCGTTGATCGACTTTGATCTCAAGACTCTTGATTGGCTTTCATTAAGACTCCTGCTGTCCACTCGCAAGGACAAAATGGTGTTGGGGATCCCACGTGGGTGTGCTCTGGATGGTCGTAGGAGTAGGTGGCGCTCAGCGTGCTTTTTTTTCATGCCGCCGTGCTCGGGTAACGCATTCGTCAACATGACATGTCGGACAGATTAATAGCCAAACGCACTCATGTCACTCCGTGTGGCAGTTGTTGTTGAGGCCAAGGACCGTAGGCAGCTACTACAAGCAGTCTGTTGAAGTGATCTAACGCAGCAGCATGTCCCCGGGATTGTCACTGCTGTTGGGGGTTGCAATCAACACAGGTGGACGCGGCGAAGGTGCTGCTTCTTGCCGGCGCGGACTCCCACGCGAGAGACCACAGGTCTCGGTGCCCGCTGCACATGGCGGCCTTGTCGGGAAAGTCGGAACTGGTGTCTTCCCTGCTCACGTGCGGTGCGGACCCCAACAAGGCGTCCGACCTCGGCACGACGGCACTCCACAACGCGGTAAGATTTCGGAGCGAGCGGTTGTATTAGACGGCCGTGGGGCCACCAAAACAACACCATCACGCGACGAGCACGTGGTGGCCCCCGCCCCTCCCCCAATGTCCCGGATAATGGTCTTCGGCAATCACCCGTTTATCCGACACGTTTGTCTTTGAAGTCCAGCTCGTACATGCCCGAACAGGAAGCAGACATAGGAGAACCATGCGTAACCGCACCACGGTACCAACACCGATGCGCAGGGTCAAGCACTTGGTGGAGCATGGGAATTTTGTTTTGCGCCTTTCGTCTTTGACGCTCCTTCCCCCGTCTTCCCCTCGCATCCATCGATTTTCTGAAGGCGTTGCTGGGACGGGTGGAAGCGTCTCGGGCGCTGCTGGTGGCGGGTGCGGACCCGAATGCGATCGACCACAACTCCTTCTCGCCGCTCTACCTGGCGTCGCAGAACGGACACACACAGCTGGTGCTCGACCTGCTCGCCGCCGGCGCAGACACGAGTGTCAAGACCGTCAGGGTGAGACAAAGAACCACGATAACGATCAGAAGGGATTGGGTGCAATGGATTTCTGCTGGTTGCAATGGAAACATGCGCAGGGTTTCTTGTTGGAATAACGTGGTTGGGGGTATGCAGATCGACAATGTTCACACGAGCTCGGCGCTATCGAAGCCATTAGGGGATGCATATCTTTGTTTGGAGATGTGGTATTTTGTGGTACGTGAAGCACACACGCCCCATGTACGTGTTCAGGATAATAATTTCCCTTACACCTGACCTCACTAGACTGATGTCACCCCCCCCCTACGCTGTGTTTTTTTCGCCTTACTGTTGTTGTAGGGCTTTACACCCTTGCACGTGGCGGCAAGGTGCGGGCGCTTGACTGCCCTGAGGGCCCTCCTGGACGCCGGCGAGGCCGTGGACTCCCCGTCCACCCCCGCGGGCACCACCCCCCTCCACCTCGCGGCCGGGTTTTCGCGGCTGAGCTGCGTGGAGGAGCTCCTCCTGCGCGGCGCCGACCCTTCCAGGAAGAACAAGCGCGGCGCCACGCCGCTGGACATGGTGGGCACCCTCGTCACTCCCGTCAGCGCTCGCCCCGCCCTCGCCACCCAGGGCGGGCCCGAGACGATGAGCGGCAAGGCCAAGCTCGCTCGGGAGGCGTTCGAGAAGAACCTAGCGGAAGGGGAGCGGGTGAGGCTCGCCCTGACGAGCGCGCAGAGGTGGCAGAGGAAATGGGGCATGGTGCTGGTGTGCGAGACTCTCCGTAGGAGGTCGAACGCTGTCCTCGCGCCAGCTGATGGCGCATCCGACGGGGGTGCAGTGGCAGGGAGGGAGCGGCTCGAACGCGACGATGACGACAGCAAGCGCCGCTGTAGGCGTTCCCGAGCTGGCGAGCCGGTCGCAACGGCCGTCCCTGTCCACGGTTGGCTGGTCGCGCAGCTCTGTGTGCATGCCGACCCCGCGTTGATGAAGGGCGTCATTGAATTTTTGTGAGGCCGCGCGTGCCGCGCAGGGACAGCAGCAGTCGTTTCGCAGGATTCGTATGAGGACCGCAGGACCATTGTAGATCATCGGCGATAAATGGTGGAGCTGTCTCGGGACGCGAATTTTCTGTGTGTTAGATAGTTCGTCCCACCTCATAATTTGTTTTAATGTTTGGTCGGCTCCAAAGAGCCAAAAGTTTATGTTCGCAGTAATCACACAATGCTTGCCGTACTAATACCGCCGTTGGGCCGTGGAGTTTCCCTCTCCGACCCCTCCTTAATTTTGTCAATTGAAGTGGAGGTACAATAGTTCTGCTCATTCCTCATTTTTATTCTGGTATTCGTCCGGAGTTATCATCCGAATGAGGGGATGCCATGTACGATATCTTACTCTTTGGTAGGCATGAGTTTTTGAATCGTTGGTGCTGCCGTCTTCCCGGGGGTGTGTCGTCATTCCAGTTTCCTCAAGAAGGAGGCTGTCCGCGGGGACACTAGAAACTCGGACCCAAAACGCTTGAGGCTCCACAAGCTCAGTTAAGGAGCAGCAAGTGTTGCAGGACGATGGTTGAGCCCCGGAGCCTCCAAGGGGGCACACGCTGCTAGTCGACGGTCGCGCGGGAGGCACTGAACGCTGTAGCGCGTTCCTTCTTCAGCCCTCGCGCTCTTGCTCTCAAAACCAAGTGGTGTGTCATGTCAAGCTTGACCTGGTGTTTTTTTTGCCGATATTGCGAGCCTTTGAAGTGTTCATGTAGTTTGTCAAGTTACTGCTGTAGAGCGGTGTATTGTATTTATGCCTGTCGTGCATGTTGGTCAGGTGGATGGACACGACGCACTAGGTATATATACCAGGTTGTTGGATATACGCGGCCGTCATATCATTGAAAAAATATAGGTTCGAGTTGATTTAGAGGTCGGCTGCGGAGGTTGACCCGTGTACAAAGGCAACGCTTGAAGCTCATCAAGGACGCCGAATTCTCGAGTTAGTACTTGGGACTTCGCGTAGATAGTACTGATGTTGGACGAACGGAGCTGGAAGTGGCCTACTTCTTCACGTGTGGTAGAATAGTCACGGGTGGCTGGTGGATTAAGCAAACTAGAGGTTTCGCTGGAGGATCATAAAAGGACCATTATACAGTTCCATTGCAAGAGCGCAATACATGATGCGTGGTGCATTGATTCTGGGTGCACTGGGGTTCTATTATACATAGCTGGTTTCAGCAAAATGCCCGAATGAACCCCCCACTGAGCGGGGTGAAAACGGAGTAATACAAGCAACTGAAGGGCGGCGAATCCGATCACTCACGCGCCCGTTTCGCGAACCATGTAATAGCCCGGTTGCGACACCAGAGTGAATGGTGTTACTCCGCTCAACGAGCAGCTAACCCACCCTGTGTGTCCCGTAGCTCATTTTGTGCACTGCTTAGCACCTTCATCATTACTCCTGATACGGCCGAACAGCCCACAAAACTCCTCTATACATGCACATACTCGTCTTCCGCCTGCACTCTCCGGATGTATGGATGCCGCTTCACATGCTTTCACGCCAAGCCCCTCCCCCCTCAACCATTCCTTCGGCACGGGAGAGCATGAATCAGTATCGGCGGGGGAGCGTTCTAAGAAATTTCCTTCGCAGCTTTCTTGTGCGTTCTCAGCTCGGGACGAAGTGCGGGCTGACGCTACATTTCCGACAATTTATCCCAATTCAGACTGCATCAGCAGTGCTTACTCCCAAGCTCCCCTTTTCGCACCCTTGACAAAGTCAGCCCTCGCTAATATGAAGCCAAAAGAGTCGACGTTTTTCCAAGGGCACTCGAGAGAGATGTCTTGTTCTTGTAGCTCCCAACAACAAACGACAGAGACACAATTGGCGCTCGAGGGGCCACCAGCTAAACAAAACTACCAACACAGCAACAGGGATTGCCACACGTGAGACGCGCGTCCTCGTGAGAACACGACCGGGCGAAAGACGAGAAAAGCGTGCCTCTACGTGAGTTCCTTGACGATCTTCTTCTTTCTCTCTGGCACCGTCTCCACCGTCCCGGCCTTGCTGTGCTTGATGCGGTTGTCCACCTGTCGAGAGAAGTAGGCAAAACCGGGACGCCACTCAGTCGAATCCAGTGGTGGTGTAGTATTAGTAAAATGAGGGCTATTTTGAACAAGCTTGGGTCATGAAAGTAGGCGCGCATTGCACAAACCGGGCAGGATTGATTTCTTTACACTAACACCGGTCCGCCCCTCTGTGCCTGTTTTCCCGAGGCCGAAATGACAAATAACGAGCTTCCTCTTCGCGAAAGACGGAAAGGTATTCAAGAACGGAAGTGCCCGACTCCCAACCTCCTCATCGCTTCACGACAGGGCCAGGCAGGCACACCGGCCAAACAGACCGTTACAAAAATCCAGAGATGGCTTCGAACAGGCCACAGTAACCTATTCAAGAGCAAGACCCACGAGGTGTGAATATGCATATGCCTACTAGTAGTGCACGCGAGTGTCACGTCTCATGAGGTTCGGAACTCGCCGCTCACCTTCCGGCGCTCCTTGTCCCTCTGCACGCGCTCCGCCTCCGCCGCCTTCTTGACGATTCTCGGCACGTGTCGGTGCTTCGCGATTCGCCGTACTTCGGGCATGTGTTCGTACCTGCTCCCGACCGTGGCGGCGGGGGAAATTGTAGACGTGCCCATGCGCGCGGCAAGAACTAGGCAATGGGATAATGGCCGCAAGGACGCGGGCGGCGACACTACGGTACGAATTGGTTTCAAGATGTGCGGAGGCCACACAAAAAACAGTGTGCCGTGCGCTGGAAGAAGGGTGGGCCTTGGGTAACTGCTCCCCCCCACCCAAACACACGGCCATGTCCTCGGAATGGGCACGGAATGTGTTCACAAAAACCGTGAACGGCAACCTCCTTCCGGTACGAAAGATGAGACACCAGTAGAGACAAGCACGGCCAACCCTGCCGCGTGCAGGGACGACACGCAAGGACGGAGCTCACCTCTTCTTGAGGCTGTTCCTGTACTCTTGCTTCCTGGCCTCCCTCGGCACCACCTTCCCCAGCTTCTCCGACGCATTGGCCTTCCAGATCCGAAGGTTCGTGTCGTCGCTGCCCGTCATCACAAACCTGTCGTATCCGCCGCAAGGGTATTAGCAGCAGCGGTGGCAGGTACGGTGTTACACACGAGGTGCGTGACCAAGCAATGGGAGCACCGAGCACCAAGATGGGGGGAGCATCGCGGCAAAAAATCGAGCCGAGAGAGCCTTTGCGACGCAACACCCGGCAAACCAAAACGCGCGCCCAAAGCAAGCCTCGACAGTCAGCGGCGACGAGGCGATCATAGAAGCGAGCGGGGCAAAACTACAAGCACGCCTTCGTGGTATACTAGAACCTTGGCGTGGACGTGCCACGAAACTTCCGCCTAAACGGCGGCAGGGCAGGTTCAACCTCGAAATATCTCAACATTTTCGGTAAAGAAACATCGGTGTAGTGTAACGTGCCGGGGGCCTGTTGAATTTGGAGGAGGGGCTCCGCAAAAAGGCCCACGGTACCTGTCAACCGCTCGTTCTGGCTATCATCACCCCCTGCTCTGCGGTGGCGGGTGTTCGACGGCACAATACCAATTTCCTGGAGGTAATCTACGGGATCTCTGGGGCGTGCCGCCGCCTCACGGGCGAATCACCCCTGCGAGGTCAATGGTCTAATGACTACGGCATGCACGACTATGAGTACACCCCCGCCCCCCCCCCTCTCATCATTAATAGCTTCTCTTCGGATCAACCAGGGTATCCACGGGCTGCATAATAAACGGATTCCACCACAGCACAGCAGTAGTCCCTGCTGACGCAGATACCTCGCATCCGCACTGAAGTTGACGCAGAACACGCGCTGCATGCGCTTGGTGTGGTACACCTCCCGCGATCGACCCGCTCGGTGCGGGAAGACCCTAACCGTGCGGTCGTACGACCCGCTCGCGAACTCCTGCCCTGTGGGCGAGAAGGACACGTCCATCACCGCAGACACGTGGTCCTTGTGGATCATCAAGGCCTGACGTTGAAAGGCAGAGAGGGCGAGATGAAAAGGGGCCACGCGCGGCAGTGCTAACCTGCATAAGGATCTGTGCGTGGAGCCAGACGCGTGAGCTTCGAAGAAAAGCTATTCCGTCGGTTGTCATTTTTGAATTGTCATTTAGAATAGATTCGAGTGAGCCAATCTGGAGAATATCAATTATGCTCGTTCCGTCGTGAGAACGCGCAATGCCAATGGAGGTTCGAGGCGGGGCTGATAGCAACGTGAGGAAAACCTGCGTGGTACATACAGAGCTTCGTGGCCACCACCAGGGGGATGAACCTGCGCGCCTTGTCTCGTAGCTATCTCGTTGACAGCAACTAGTCAGTCAAACCTGAAGAATACCTTTGCTTGCGAAGGGAAAGGTGCGCAGCCGTAGTGACTCACCTGGTTGAGGTTCCGCAGGTCGAACGTGTAGAGATTGGTGTCTTCGTTGGCGCAAACGAAGTTCATTGGCTCCTGAGGGTTCCACGCCACGGCATTTGATCGCATTTGCAATACAACCTTCCACACGAAGAAGCAAAGTGTCCGCGAGGGCCAAGAGAGAAGATAGATATATGTATATATATAGAGAGAGAGAGAGAAGAGAGAAACAGAGCGTTAGGCCAAGGTATTGGACAGACTTGAAAGAAATAACGCGAGAGTACCAGGGTTAGATCCTGTCTCTTGTGCGGTATCGCGCCCTCTACACAACATGGCTGAACAATTCATGCACAAATACAAGGGTGCAAGAACGGTTGATCGACGTCTACATGACTGCAGCCGTGTACCAGGTAGGAGTTATGTCGCTTAACATGCAAAATAGCGTCCAGCGCGTGGTCAGGTGACAGCTGGGCAGAGCTTTGTACTGCGGTACCGTTGTTGTGGGAATCTCGGGGGTGAGCATTCAACCGACAGATGATTATGACGCGTGTTTTCCCCGCACTGACAAATACCTTGCGCATAGGCACCGTGGCCCTCGTATCGTAGAGGCACACTTCTCGGCTGGAGCCCGTGCTTGCAAGCAAACATCTCTCGGCGGGGTTGAACCTGAGACAGGCCAGGGCGGCAAGCCAGCGACGGACAGAAGACGGTGCATGGCGAGCGTACGGTCGACGTTGACGACAGCGCGGCCAAATGCTGGTTGCTACGGTAAGTCGTGCGCGATGTAGCCTACACGTTTGCGTCTCTTATGCGGTGCCGTGACACTATAGGAGGAGGGCACAGATGAGTTTGTCCCGATGACTACGCACCTCACGCAATTATTGCTGTCCGCACCCCACTGGTAAGAGAGCGTCGGTTCGGCTCTGCTGTGGTCCCAAAGGTCTACCGAGTCTCCAGCGGTGGCGAACTTCGCGTCCGTCCAGTGGTGGTCGAGGGACTTAAAGCCGCCGGACTTGCCCATCCAAGTCGCCGTGGGTTCCGGCGTCTGCAGGCCAAGCGGCATTGCAGCATGGTTTGACGGTATTGCGATTGTAGACATCGCATCGTCGTTGTGACTTCGTTGGCGCGCCGAGAAGACTAGGACACGAAGAGGTACAGTAATTTTGTTCCAGCGCCGTGTTTGAGAACACAGGCCACCACGAAGCACCACGTCTTTCTCCCTCGCCATGTCTTTAGGCAACGACCGCGCAGCAGCAGCCTAGCAACGAGCAGATGTCATTTCGCTCTCGACAGAAACGGGGACCTCCGCGGTACGATGGCCTCCCCTAAAACGCAACACTCGCAGGTTCTTTTACAACACGACCGCTTGTAGGACAACAACAGCAGAGAAAACTCTCAGGTGCTTCTGCGTCAACAAAAACTGATTCCCTCCTGACCTCCGAGAGATCGGAAGCCACGCCGAGCTCCCACTGCTTGACCATCCCGTCGTCCCCCGCGGAAAGGAAGCTGGCTCCGTCCGGGGTGACCGACAGACCTCGAACGAAACCCTGGTGTCCAACCGCCCGCCACACGCAGCTGCGCCGCGACAGGTCCCACAGTCGGATCTCCCCGTCACAGGCGCCTGCTACACCAAAACAGTGACAATCGTGTTGAATGCCATACGAATGAAACCGCAGAGCGGGGAACCAACACATCGCCCACACGGAAGCAGAAATACGACGATAGCTTCAAAGCCGTTCGTGCTGTGTATAACTAGCTCAGCGGCTGGTGGCATATGTCCCAGCAAAATGTTCTGTTAGTGACGTTTTGAATTCAAACAGCGGGGCGGGGGCACGCCAAGGCCACCCGGCAAACATCAGACCGGCACGCCCCTCGTTTCAGATGTCTCCAATTTCGTATAACCCGCACAACAGGAAACATCAATCAAGACCCATCTACCGTGCCGGGTTGGAGTAGCGGTTTGCCTCTCTTCCACCAAGCCCATCGAAACCTTTGCCGTAGGCTGGCTGCGGAGCACAGCTTAGACAACGCGTATTTAGACTATCGGCATGCCGTCCAAGAATCGTCTTCACATCAACACGTCTCGCCGTATGCATGCACCAAGAGCGATTACAGGAGCAACACACACATAATCGCACCTGACAAGAACTGCACAAGATTTCTCCTGCTTGAGGCGGAGCAGAACACGCCGTCTCCATGCCCATCCAACGCCCCAACCAGAGGCTTCGCAAACATCTTGTCAAGCTTCACTGACTGTAGTGCTCGGGTGTACTCTCTTGCCTTCAAGAAAGAGGGCGTTGACCATGCGAGAAAGAAACAGCTCAACGGCATAGATCGGATGGATCAGCAAAATGGGAAGCCTATTGCTCGTCGCGATTGTCCTCGTCACAGGACTATAGCAGTGTTTCTAAAGCACGTATACTCACAAGGTGACTCTGCCATAATCCCCTCGAATCAAACCTAAAACCTCAACCTGCAAACCTAGACGCGTGCCAGTAAAGGCGTACCCTGGTTAGGTGCTGCTTCTACGAGGGTTCGCGTAGGCAGAAACATGTGCCAAGGTTGAAGGCGTTGCTGGAAGGGAGATCTAAACATGAAAATTGAATTTACTTCAAAGGAAACGAGTTGAAGTTGCCTTGGATAGGGTAGATTTGTGTTGCGCGGACAGGCCTAGGTAGTGATTGGGTGGGTTGGGGGAAAGGACTCCAAAACAGGCGAGACTGTCAACGCGTTTCACTCTAATTTCGCGCAATCATGTGGTGCTGACGTGCTTACGAGATTCAAAACTCTCTCGGCCCTTCAAGTCTGTACGATCAACGTAAAAAATGATCCGTCCACAGTACCGCCACAAACGAGAAACACCATACTTGTACGCAAGAACGTGCTAGTCTCGACTTGATCAGCCAACAGCCAACGCACAACGCACCCCCACCCGGCCTACGAAAGTTGCGGGGGAACCACACCTTTTCAAAAGGATGCAGGGAGGGGTCGCGGTTTCGGTGCACTTGAAGCCGGTCACCCTTGCAGTCACGAGTGTAGGACTCCTCCACGCGGCTAATGGTTTTAACCTTCATGGTTACCCCTCTTCCTCTTGCTCTCTCAGGGCCTGCTTCCTTTGGGTCTGAGTGGGTGGGTCACACAGCACACCCAAAGAGGACTGCTGTAGGATAGGGGGTCCGCGGCCTGGTGTCCCACGTAGCACCATAAACGATTCTGGGGACCCCCTCCTCGCGTTGGCTCTTCTTCGGCACCAGCCCCTGCCTTCAGCAGCAGGCAGTGGAGACAACATAAGCTAGAGCTTGTGTAGGCTGCGCCATGATGGGACGAAGAGGTGGTCAACAGGCTGCACGTGTTGTAAGATGGCATGGTTCGCTGCGAGTTATTTCCGTGTGCTTGGTTGCTCTGCTGGTGACCAGCGTCAATTCGATGACGATGGATGTGGACGACGGGAGCATGGCCTGTGCTATCGTCGTTGCCAAGCAGGGCAACACCATTAACGCCAACTTCGAGGTATGAGGCACTTCGGTTACCAAGCAGCACCTTTCGGTTAAGAAGGAGATATTTCCCAAACACCCTTGGCGATAAACTGGCACTGAAATCCGTCGCAGCAGTACGTATCCCCCGCAAGCCCAACTCGACATGTACGTGAACACAGACACCGACGGGTTCATAGAACAAAGCTTGGAAGTCCTCGCACATTTGGAGCTCAACACGCGAGCGAAACAGACGGCAGCCAGCGGCAGCAGCGGTTCAACGAAAGATAAATTGGAAAGAAATGCGGTGAAGCGTCGACCGGAGTGTTGCATCCTCGATTGGTTTAGTCGGGAGATGACATTTTTGTAATGGGGAACTCAAACGAGAATTCTGCTCCCTGCTCCCCACCTTTTGATCGCATTCGGACATGTTCCTCAGCTGCGATACTGTTTTGTTTTGGAAGCGGACACGGCTTCGATGGGCTTTCTACACGACACGAAACTACGAACGCAACAAGTTGCTTTTAGCTAAAAAGTATACCGTTAGTAGTTTCGTAGGTGACGCCGCCGTTCAATTCCGTCTCTAATGTAGATGCATCCTGTGTACGCAAGTTTTCCTCACAGCTCGCAAGTCCCACAAACCGCCACGCTCGCCTACGCCACGTTGATACACTGCAGTGCATTCAGCCGCCACGCTGTTCATTCCGAGCTGTGCGTGAGCGCTAGCCCGTCGCAGTTCACTGATATTGAAGAACATGATGCTCTTTTGAGAAAGTTCAGAGACGAGTGGTAAGCTACGGACATGAACCCGCTCGCGACTGTGTTGACGTTGGCACCGTCACAATTCCGACGGAAGCAACAACTAAATGATCAGCGAACACCACGAGCCCTTGCCCCGGGCGATGCTCAAGCCACATCATGACACACCTTACATGCCTAAATCTGTCCGGAACGCGCTCGCGCACTGAATGACGTCTGGATCTGTTGCACTTTTTCTATCCTTCGCGTCTTTCCTTCGCGTTTATCCTCAGCTGTGTAAGATCGCCTCGTTCACACGCTGCAGTCACTTATATTCATAAGCTTGCACGTGTCTCGCTTTTGTAGGGCTGGCATCGGTGCAGGGCAGGGCGTCAGGCGAAGGTGGCACGTGTCCAGAGAAGAAGTCTTGACACGTAGATGCGGCACACACGCCCCACCGTTCAAAGTACCGCAAGGAAGCGAGATATGGCACCCCCCCTAGACCGATTTTCAAAGCTGAAAGCTCGATTGCTCCACAACCAAGCTTGTGAAAACACCAACAATGGTGGCTTTGGAAACATTTTGTCAAGAGCTTTCCGTAGACGTATCGGGCTCTTTCCGCACCCACTTGCTTTTGGGAGCAATCGAGCTTTGAGAGTCGGTCCCGGGGGGGTGCCATCTCTCGCATCCTCTCGGTACCCGGGATACGCAGGCTACCTCGCGGTGGATATCGTACAGAGTTCGTTGGGCAAGCCAATAATTAGTGTTCGCACGCCGACGACGATCCGAAACTAGATTCCGTATAACGACCGTACAGACTGGCTTTGCAAAGGCTTCTAAAAGGGACATCGTGTCCCAGGCACAGCCGCCGAACTGCTGTTTCTCGCCAGTGGGATAATTCAGCTCTTGATTGTGACACTTTACTTTTGCTTTCTGTCGGTCGGTCTGCGGTTTTCGTGCGTACACGCTGCATTTCAGGTCCTGGGCTACCCTGTGAAAAACACCATGGTTATTCTTCAAAGGAGGGACGATCACGAGCTGCTCTACAAGAAGGAGGGTAGGTACATCACCTGGGGGTTAAATGCACCCTGAACAGCATATGGGCGTTTGAGATTGCGGATTCGCGCGTCGTCCTTGTGGTTCAACATTGAACTTGTAGGATGGTTTGTGCGTGGGCTTTGTTCCTCGTCCTCATGCTCCGTTTTGAAAGAGCTGGCTGGATGTTCAGTTATTTTTTAACCAGCAAAGAAAACTGATTGGCCCTGTTCGCCACACGAGCAGAAGGGTGTACCACAGCGGGAAAGCCACGGGGGGTCAATGGGGAGGAAGGCTAAGGCGGAGCCCAGGACGGCAGCTGTAGTCGGAGAGGCTAGGCTGGTAGAGACAAGTGATGGGGCTGGCAACCAGCAGAAAAAAAAAAGATTGCCGTGGGCCGACGGCTGCTTCCCCAATTGTTCTTACTTCAATTCAAGGAAGTGCCGTTTGTGTCATCTTGGTACGATGACGTCACGAGGCATACGCCAAAACCCTCGCTTGAAGTTTCAATTTCAAGTGCCGCTTCTTGTGTCTTGGCACGATGGCGTCACGAACGAACGGCGATGATACTTAACTACAAGCAAGCAGAAGCTGTGATGTCATTAATTCTAACAATAATATCTCTTGGTACGCTAGTTACGTCGCGAAGAGAGGATAAAGTTCATACAATACGTAACATACATACATACATACATACATACATACATACATACATACATACATACATACATATAACGGGCCCGGAAAATGATAAGAAACGTCAAAATCGGGTCGAGCCTCAATGATATATTATTTTGGGTAGACGCACCAGACCAACCGAAGTCGGCCCAATTTCTTAAAACGAATTTCTTATTCCTTTGGGCTGTCGCATCCTGCTGATGCTCTTATTTTCTTGTTTGCTTATTTCTGGCGTTGTTATATATAGAAAACAACACACCAGTACAGCAGCAGTGGCTGGTGGGTATAGCGCAGCCCGCGGCGGCGCGGAGGCGCGGGGGGCGCCGCGAAACTAACCTCTCCCCCTCGCTACCAATAAATATTTACATGAATGATGAGCTAGGTAGGGGGTGGGAGCATGACAGCAGCAGCAGCATCAGTGGGACGTTTCTTTTTGGACACGCGCCCCCACAAACCCCTTGTTTCTTGTAATATCTGGGGGGTATCGCACGATCATGTTGCTTATTGGGACGTTTCCTACATGCTGTAGCCGAGATTCAGCTGAGTTTCTTAGCCCTGTTTTACTATTTTTCGTGAAAAATTGAGCCTCTGTTATGGGATTTGGAGGTATGTGATCGTGGTTGATTATGGTTATTTGGCGCCGTCGGATGCTAGGACGTGACGTCATGCTAAATCAGGGCTTTATGTGGAGTCATGTGCCCTTCTGTTCAGTGTGAGCGTGCAGACGATCTATGATCGTGTGTGCGTGGGATATTGTGAGTTGGCTTGCAAAGCCTTAATCAAGAGAAAGAGAACAACGGAGAGCAACAACAACCTGCTACTGTGGTCGGACAAGAGAGTTCCACACAGCTCTTAAGTGATTGATTCTGAAGGAAGGGGTCTAATACCATTACCACCTCATTTTCTGAACACAATTTTTTTTAATGGTGGGCCCGTTCTGTAGCAACCTACGCATCATGCATGCATGCGCAAGGAGATAGATAGATCGATGCGTTTTTCTGAAATTTTGGCCCTAACGGACGAAATGCAAGAGGAGCCGTCGAACGGTCGGCACACACAGAATGCACCGAGGTGATAGATAGATGTGCAGCAGGCACACGACAGATAGCGCAATGGAGAGCGAAAAAAAGGATACGTACCCCATCTTGTGCCGAAACACGCCGGGTAACTCCATTTTGTCAATTGCCCCCGTTTTTTAATTATTTTTGAAAAAAACAAGTGCCTGCAGTAGGCTCGTGCGTTGTTACATTTGTTACCATTGGCTAACATCTTGTTTACGACACAGACAGCAGCAGCAGTGAAGACGTTGAGTCGTGGGGGCGCCAGCCAGTCAGTGTGATGTACACAGACAGGGAGGGCTGGATAACTACCGTCAGGTAGACAGGGGGATGGTATTTACCGTCAGACGGGGGGGAGGGGGGCGTACTCTTATGTTTTGCATGCCTTAGCGGTTAGGCCATTGACCACGCGTCCTCGAGAGGACGGANATTTCAACCCACCTGTTGCCCCACTACAGCTACCGTCCTTTCCTCTCTATTCCATGCCTCAAACATCTCCCTGTACGT